CGCCTTTCAAATTTGGCCCTATTCTTGACTGAATCCTAGATCCGCCACTTGCGACGCTGTCTCAGGAAGAAGAACAGGAGGCTAGGGAAGGAAGAGGAGAACATGAAGGTCGTAAATTGTTCATCTATCTATGTAGTTCATTACATGGGCCAAGCCCAACAATTTTTCATCACGGAGGTGACGTGACGATCTGCTTCATCAAATCTCTATAAACGAATCCTGCACCAAAACCAGGCTAACGGATAGGGCCACGTCGCCCGTTAGGCCGCTGGCCGTCCGATCTGGCAAAAGCACGATGTGGACCGTTCGATCGGGCTAGTTGCGGGTCTCCCACCATTAAGGCACGAACCCGGAAGGTCACGAATACTCGCGAACCGACCCGTCACCTCCGCGGCGCGTCTCCTTCCTCCCGCAGCTCCACTGTCCCCCGCGGACTCCCCCGCACCTCCTCCTCCCTCCTCCCTCGAAGGCACGAGCGAAGCGGGCTACGCTGGCAGCACTTGGCGCGGGCGAATCAAGTGGGGCGCGAGGTGGGGCATGTCACCAGCACTGGTTCCGGCGTGGGGCAGGGGTACCGGAGAAAGGGCGGCGCAAGACACAGCGACCTAGCCCGCCGCTCCGCCCTCTGGGTGCTATACCTTCCACGCCGCTGCGTCCGCAAGGACGCACCCTACCTTTCTGCCCCAGCGCCTTTTGCCTAGCTGTGGGCTGCAGGCTGAGAAAACACACGCGACGCAGCCGACCTCACCGCGCGCTTCTGTGCGTGGCTGCCGCGGTGCCGCCACCGTAGCCCGGCTCCCATGGGTCGCGTCGTGGAGCAAGCTGGGTTGGCGCACGGCCGTGGCTGGGTTTGCACCACGCCTATGAACGGCAGTTCGCAGATGGCCGGGGATAGTGCCAGTGCCAGCCGCTGTCGACTGTCGTGCACACTGCCTGCTTGACGAAATGCCATTTGTGGGATTGGCCACGCTGCCATCGCACCATGTCGCAGCCAAGCACACCTATGGTCCTTCACCTGATAAATATGGACAGCGACGAGGACGAGGAGAGCATTGACGCCAACTACGTACCTTGAGACCTTCTCCAGCCGGTGGTGGACAACAACGATCCCTCTGAACAAGCATCTCTATAACACAGGTACGCAAACAGCTGAAGGGAAGAAATGCATCAGAGTTGCCAGCTCAAACACTTCCGTTACTTCAATTCCAACATGCATATAACAATAAACTTCCTGGATTACATTCTTGCTTAATTTACATGATATGGATTTGAGAAGCGAAAAATCAAAATGCTGGAATGAATGATTAATTTTTAGGCCAATCAACACAGAGAAGGAGCTCATCGGTAAAATCTGTTTTTAATTCCATGATGCTTTGCATATGTCAGTTTGTAAATTTCTTCAACATCAATGTGTTATTCACTAAAAATTGTGGTCCTATTCGTTTCGCTGAAAGGACAAACTGAAAAGTACCATTCGCTGATTTGTTATGAGAGAAAAACAGCTGAAAAATACGGCTTTACATGTCCAATGCATTAATCACGTTAATCTTATTATAATTTCAAAGTACATGTTGCTTTCAAGTTACTTTTCTTTACTGTATATGCTGAGCTACCGCTTGCTCCACACCTCAAGTATATTCTTGGATCTTAATTGTTTCAACTGCATTTTTTAAAATCCTAATTTCTCTTCTGGGAACATGCTTCTGTATGATAGCAAGTTCTACAGTAGGTGGTCATTGCAGAGTGCTCCCTCCTAATTCTAATTCCAAGACCCTCTCGGCCTCTCTGTTTCTTTATTGCACTTGCAGAATATTACATGTATTTTGTAAGATAGAACTACAAGTGCAGAGCGAGCTTAGAAGCCTAATCTTAAGTCCATCATCATTGGCCGACACCCTTAATCCACGACCAGTTTTGCTGCGATCGAATTGACAACCGCATTATCGTTGGCCACCGTCCTTAAGCCCTACTGCTGGTTTCAGAGGCTCCCGTGGGTGAGACAAGAGTGTGGGAAACCAGAAGGTAAACAATCCTCATTCAACTCCTACTCTTGATCTATTTAATTGGGTTTATAAATAAGCCAGATTCCAGTTGTTTTAAACCATCAAGATCCCCTTTGTTCTTAATTTACTTGGCTAGATCATCTAATTTGAGCCCTGAAAATCACTACCAGAAGTTGCAAATCATCAGCCTCCCCTCTATTCTTAAATTACTCAGATAGAGCATCTATTTAGCCCTGAACAAAACTAAATATATAGCGACCATTGTTATTAGTAGCGGAACTAGCGGGTGACACCATTGCTAACTTTTGTACTGCACAAGAAGCATTGTTCTATCATTTCCTCCGAAATTGCCAGACAACTTAGCTTTCTATTCAGGTTACGTAGCTGTTAATTTGTTATGAATAGTATATGACTGAAAAGTGACAGGCTCATGATAAACCGGATCAGAGCTAGCACATACAAGCTGGCCCTTCACCGAAGAGCGCGGCAACGCCGCGCGTCTTTCTAGTTGTTCTTCGATAGCCCTTCTCCACAAGCAACGGAGGTCGTCTATGTAGTTCATTACATGGGCCAAGCGACCAAGCCCAACACGGAATAGCATGCAGGCCCAAAGCCTAATGCTACTGTAACCCAATATCAGCTTCATGGCCCGGTCTCTCATTATAACATATGTAGATGTAGAGGGAAGTCCATTGTTGCTGGTTCGTGTCAGATTGGTGAGCATGCACAATACAGTAGTAGATGTTTCTGTAGAAAAAACTAGACCAACCTAAAAGGAATTAGGTGATTTTGTATAATGTATAATAAAAATATATAGACACCAAAAATCATCTCAACCGAGAATCTCTTCTCTATCTCTATCTCTATATCTACTAAACAGCTATAAAAAATCATAAAATCGCTATAGCTAAAAAAAGAGAAACGAAATAATCCGCGAGGCAGAAGGAACCACCCCAATCCCTCCCCCTGCATCGTTTGCACGGTGCTGACATGTGGATCCACCTCCTGCACTCTTGCACGATGCCAACATATGGGGCTACTTTCTGCATCGATCCTTCCCTCATCATTCATCTGCAGCGTCCACGCCTCTTCCTCGACTCCCTACTTCCCCGCCACAACACCATTTCCCCTCTCTGCCCCTGCCACCCGACTCGCCTACCTCGCCCTCCCTCCCACAGCTACCTAATCCTGCGCCACCTCTCATGTCTCACACGGTCACACCGCAACACCATGTCTCATGGAGAAGGAATTCGGGAAGCTTCGATGGAACAACGACCACTTATCTAGCCGCCGCTCCACCACCACTGTCTCGTCCACATTGTCACTAGCTAAGAAGAAGCCCAAAAGGCCCAACTGTCGTTAGCTCGTGACTTGGTGTTGCTGCTAGCTTGGCGGTGGAGTCGCAGTTGGACCGGGAGGCGGGGGTAGAGGGCGGGTGATGCTCTGGCGACAGATCCATTGCCCCTAGGCGCCGACGTAGCCCTAGGCCTCCTCCACATTTGCCTTCTCCAGTCGTAGCTCTTCCACCGGATCAGCACCCGACATAGGATCTCCCAACCTTGATCCACCTCTCAACGCTCCACTGATCTTGATCTACTTCCACTGCGCTCAACCGCCCCCAAGTATGCACCTCTCGCCCCTGATTTTTCTTCTCAATTATTGTTTTCTTCATGTAGTCGATGGAAGTTAGTGATAAAGTAACGTGTTTAGACATGCATTGACTCTGCTATCATTTTGTTCCTTGAATCCTCACCATACCAAAAGAAAAGATCATCCCAGTGTTGAATTCATAATTTTATTGCTTGAGAATAAGAGAATGATCATTTCATTTCATTGACACATATTACGCCTGAGTGATGCTAAGAATAGATAGGTGCTGTGATGTACTATACCGAAACCAAACTCAACTGTTAGATCAATTAAGCTCAAGTGTCAAGTTCAATAGCTCAACCATAAAGTTCAAGTCAAGATCAAGTTGCTCATCCATTTCTTAATCAAGCCATTGCTGGTCTTTTTTTTGGGTGGGGCATTGCAAAGTTCGAGCAACAACCATGTGTGGGCGCCAAATGTTGTACTCAACCGAAGTCTTGGATGGTTGGTTGCCAAACTAAGAAAGTGGAGATGGGGGTAGATATGAAATAGTCAAGTGGGTTCTCACAAATTTATATATAGTGCTCTAGCAAATTTATAGTCAAGTGAATTCTTACCAAACTAAGAGTTTAAATAGCAATACTCCACCTATTTGGCAAATAGTAATTACTCCAGTTCATTAAACTGCCTAAGGGCCTATTTGGTTCACTTAGTAGCTCCTAAATTTAGTAGCTTTTAATCACTTTAGTAACTTTTTAGCCAAACACTATGACTAAATGTGACTAAAAGGACTTTAGTTCTCTCTAGTAACTCTGGAGTTACTAAAAGTGACTAAACCATTTAGTAGCTCCTAAAGTTTAGTAGCCGAAACCAAACATGCCATAAATCTTAGCTAACGATCGTGTGGAGGCGGATCTGGCGTGCATGGACTTCCCCGCACGCGGGCAGCAGCCCCGACGCAAGGCACATGTGGAAGTGACTGGCCTAGGACCTAGGTGTATGTGGTTTTTTTGGTTTTATGAAATGGGCATTAGTGTGTGTGTGTAGCCGGTAGTGAAATGCCAAGACTATCCCTAGGACTATCGTTGCTGGATTTAGAACTGGTAGTAAATGCTGGTCGTGGAGTAGTGTATTGTTGTATTATATTTTATTTGTTCATGTTGCAACACGGGTATAATCCTACGTGGTAAAAGACATTTAGATTAACGGTTCATAGTTATTTCGAAGTATTATAGCAAACTTCTTAAATAATAGATGTATAATTTCTTTTAATTTCCTGACCGGATGTTTATTGAGATGCATGAAACAACGCATGGAACATACTAGCCAATAGTCCGCTACCAGCCTACCACTGTTACCCATTTCCCCATTCCCATTGCTGGTGACCTAAACCGAAGCACTCATTGCCTAGGGGGAGCAGTTGGGGCGCCAGCACTGGCAAAAGGGCACCAGGTTGGGGAACTCCCAATGGCAGCGCCCATCCGTCCGACCGCGACCCTGGCACATGCTCCGGCAGTTGTGCGTCTTCGCGCAGATGGTGTGGGTGTCATCCCAACAGTCCTTCGAACAGACAGGTAGGACAAAGCCTACAGAGATTCACATGATTCAGAGACATGCACAAATAGATCATTTGCAGTTCTATGATTTGATGAGCTCGCGAAGACGACACGCATCAGTTGCTTACCTCCGTTCATGAGAAGCAGCAAAACGAGAAAACCTGAAGCCATCGCTTTGCTCGTCATCTCCATTTCTAATAACACGTGAGGTGTAGGAGCAGGAGAAGGTTGGATCCAACTTCTCCCAATCTCCCTCTATGCAATGGTTCTTCGTATGGTCACGTCCAGTGGTGCTAATTGATGGAACGAATCATGCTCTAACAAACAGTCCAGCAACCATTTATATTGTTTCTATAAATTCATTCCTAGGGAATACAGAGAGAGTTTTCTTCCCATATTAATGAGAACACAATATACTTCTCTGTCTTGTACTTGTAAAATATAGTGCATTCTAGATATTTTTAGAACATATTAAGAAAGAACACGAAAGACCCATGTGCCTTCATTTTATTTTCTAACCAGACGATATCATCAACGTGATTAATGATGATTGATTAATAAATGAAAGTAATAATATAATGCTTACCAAATTTATACAACTATTTAATACAAAATTATTTTCTGTCCCTAGAACCCCTTATATTTGGATACAAATTTTGAATGATTGTATGCGCTATATTATAGGATGGAGGAAGTATATACCATGAAAAAAGAGCAAACATTATGTACCCCCAAACCAATTAGCTACCCATTTGTGTAAGAATAAATTACCTGTCTGTAAGAATAAATTATAGAGGCGGGAATTGGAGATGCCTGCCTGTAGGAATAAATTATAGTGTTACGAAATCATTTGTGTAGTAGTGTGCTTCGCAAGAGATCACCTTGGAAACATGATCATTTATCCTCTAAACGTTGATTGATCCTACAAGAGGAGAAAATTAAAGAAGTATCAATAATTCCGTTAATTCTTCTCTATTGCCCCCAAACCAGTTAGCTACCCAATAAAATGGTTAATCATTTGTCCATTGATTCACTCAAGTTATTTGACTATTAGCAGGGGCAGATCTGATGTGATGGCTAAGGGGGGCTCTAGCCCCCCCCCCCCTCCCTCTACCCCCATATTGCCCATGGAGCCATCATGAAGTCCTCGGTAAATTTTATAGCCATATACGAAGAGGAAAGAGGAGAAAAAAGAACATAAAGAGAAAATAGAGGAAGTAGGAGACGATGAAGACTGATTCAAACCAACTCAACAAACTCCACTAAGCAGATTAAAAGCTTATTTTGCCACATGATCGATGGACGAACTAGCTTATACCGAAACTATTTGTTTTCTCGAATACATAAAAGACTGTGTATATATATCTTTGTATTAGAGTCAGTATCAATGTGAATTCATTCGATGACGTGTCAAAGAATTAAAAAATAGATAGAAAATGAGTTTCAAATAGCTAAAATCCCGTGAACATTGTTTCCAAATCTCAACGTGTCATGGAATTAAATATAGTGAGCATATAAAACACAAAACATCAAAGTGTGCATTATAGAAGGTTGTTTCAACCATCAGTCAAATATTGATGTGGCATACTTGAAACACAACAAAATGAAATTATCTATTGAGACTGGCCAATGATAAGGCCTTAGCCTTGTTTGGATCATTCTCAAAGTGGTTCTAGACAGTGATGGAGAGCTTGGATGCTAGATAAAAAATCAGGGGTGTTTGGATCTTAGATTATTGTCTTTATGTACTGCAAATTTCTAAATAGTAGCGTGCACCACCAAAATAACAATGACATTAAATCGCGGCATAATTTCTGAAAAATGTAAGCAACCTGTCAAGTTGAGAACTTAAATCTGGATGCATAGGTTCCACACTAGGGACAACTACTTTGAGTCTGTTGTTTTTTATGGTGTGCTATTGATAACATAAATCACTTAGAGCTTTTAAATGGTTCCGTACTTTTCGTATCTTTCATGAATGGCAAGGGACCTAGATTTTTTTTGGCGTGCATAAATAGTAGAAGTAATTTAAACAAAATTTCACTACTATTGTACTAACTTCATTGAGAAGGGCTGTCCTTATATAGAAAACATAAAATTCACGGATGTTCCTAAACTTTTATACTAGGGTTTCATCTCGGTCCGTAATTTTCAAATTTTAATATTTAAATATTTATTTTACGACGGTGGCATTTGGGTCCTCAACTCCCAAATTTTGATATTTGGGTCCTAAATTTGTACATTAGTGTCATATATATGTTTCTGAACTTGTTCGGGCTCTACTATTTGTCCAAACGAGTTCTAATATGCTCCATGCATTGATGTGGTGTGTTGATTGTGTTGATGTGGACTCGACATGTGACTATGTGAGACCCATGTGTCATTGTTTCTCTCCTTTTTCATAGGCGCAGTTGTTGCTGAAGCTCTCAGTGTTGTGCGGCAGTGCTGCACTTGGAATTTAACTTCTGCTCGAGTTTGTTTTAAACATGGCTATTCACCCCCTCTCTAGGCGACGTCAAGGTCCTTTCAATTAGTATCAGAGGTATCAAAGCTAGGCTCTCAATTTCAGACTTAACCGCCTTGAGAGACGATGTCGACAAGTGAGGAGGTAACTTTAGAGCTTCTCCTTTTAGATGGATCAAATTATGCATCTTGGTCCGCTAGTGTGCTTGCTATTTTTAGGGACATGGATCCTCAAATTGAGCGGATTGTAGATGTAAGCATTTCTCCTAGTGATGATTTGGCCTACTTATCTAAAGAGGAAGTGGAATGCTTACAACTCAATGCACAAGCTACTAATGTCTTATTTAGTGCTTTGAGTGGAGATGTCTTTGATACTGTCATATTTGGAGATGGTGAACCTCTTGAGGATGCTCATATCATTTGGACCACGCTCAAATAAAAATATGACAAGTCCAAATGTGATGAGAAGACGCTCTCATTGGAGGAACCACTTGAGGAGTGCTCAACTTCACCGACAAATGAAGAACCTCAAGTGATTCTCCCAAAAGGTCCAAGTGATCATACCACATCCACTTCCTCACCAACATATGACTTAATGGAAGATAATGAAATGGTTGGTGAGAACAATGTTTTTACATGTGGTACTTCTACTTCCTCTAGTTCTTGTGGGACTAACATTTTGAAGGAAGAAAAAGCTTGTGATCAGTGGAGGCCAAATGATGAATCCACCTCACCAAGAAGCTCAACTCTCTATGCCACTTCTCATGTGGGTCTCATGGAAAAAAAGAGAAGGATGTGGCAAGTGAAAGTGAGAGTGATAGTGAAAGTGAAAGCGAGAGTGATGAAAGTGACGATGATGAGTTTAATCAACACTTAGCACATCTAAGCAACAAAGACAAGTTGATGGTGCTCAAGCTCATAGAGAAAATTCAAGAGCAAGAAGAAACACTTCACGACCAAGAAGAGTTTCTCATCAAAAAGATCAAATGCTTGGAGAAGTTGACCAAACAGCATAGTTTGGTCGAAAGGTATGAAAACTATCAATTGAGCAAACTCATACTATTAACTCTCTATCTTGTGTCGCTCAATTAGCAAGAATGAGTCTTTGCAAGAAAGTCATGATGGGCTCTTGTGCTCTCATGAGAACCTTATGGATTCTCATCTCATGCTAGAAATTACTCATGAGGTTGTGGTAACAAGGTAAAATTATACCAACCTCACACCCACAAGTGCACATGTAGAGAAGCTCAATCTATTTTATCATGTGCTAACAATTGTTACTCTCAAGCAAGCCAACCTTTCGTTGAGCATGTACTTGTAGAAATTTGTGATGATTCCATTACAAAAGAAAATGAAGAGCTCAAGGAAGAAATTGAGTGGCTAAGAAGGGTGTCGTGGGGTCAAAACCACGACAAGCATGTTGTTCAAGTTGGTGTCAGAGTATGGGTCTCCAATGGCTCGGGTGGACTCAGGAACACAAGAATCACATAGAGGAGACACAACAATTTATCCTTGTTCGGGCCAATTCAGTCTCTATGTCCAGCAGCTGATGATCCTTATACTCAAGAGCACCCAAAATCGGGGTTACAATAGAGTGTAAAGGAAGAAGATTTGGTAGGGGGTTAGCTCGGTGCTAATCCTAATGTTGCCTCACTGCTGGTGGTGCCTTCTGCCTCATCGGATAGGAGGAAGACGATGGGATGTGGTGGAGGAGAGGCTCTCGGTGCCCCTCTCCGGGTTACCTTGCCCTCTGTGCAGGGTGGAGGCTGATGGAATGGAGTGTCTAGTGATTAGAATGGGATCCTCTCCCCTCTAGGTCTGACCTTATCCCTTATATAACGAGATAGGTTGGGTACATGGTGATTTGGGGTCACGGTGCCTTGGAGTCGAAGAAGCCTTGGGCATCGTCTAGCGGCTCAGTTCTGACACTCTGCGTGTCATGCGGTGTTAGCTTGGATCGGCCTCCCCTGGGTGAGACCTTCTAGAGTTTTCTCGGTGGCGGAGGAGGTCGGCTCCAGGGGCTGACACGTGGGCCCGAAAGCCCGCGAGCCCCCAGAGGCCGTGGGAAGCTGTCTTCTTGTGTCATGCCCCAGACATGACCCTGTTGGAGGAGCAGTTGGCAGGGCCACTCCTAGGGAGTGGCGCCGAGGAGCCCCCGAGCATCAGTAGCTCGGGGCCTATCTTCTTGTGCCCAGGCCTTGGCTAGCGTCGTGAGCCAGGCAGGAGCCAAGGACCGAGCTTGGTCATGCCATAGATCGGGAGCCCAAGGCTCGGGGAAGCCCCTGAGCCCTAGGTGAAAGCTGCGGTCGAGTCAGGCTTGGTCGGATCTCTTTGCTAGAGGGTGCACGCGAGCGTGCCCGATGGGCATAGCCATCGAGCCCCGGGCGATCCTAAAGGGGTCGGTCTAGGGGTCTTCTTCGTTTGGGAACCATAGGACCCGAGGCTTGACATACCTGTATGTTAGGATCTCGTCAGGAGCCCCTGAGCCCTTCATGGCCTTACCTAGCGTGATGGTAATGTAGGGCTAAAATTCGATCATCTGGTGACCGAACCCTCCTTGGCGGGGACGTCTTCCGCTGGTGAGAGCGCTGTGCCTTGCTTGGGGCCTTCTTCTCCAAAGTGATTGGTGTTGCTCGGCTATCGGGGCTGAGCGAAGATGGTGTTGATCCCTTCGTGAGCCTTTGTTGCATGGGTCTTTGATTCGAGTG